TCTTTCCGGATACGCCTTCCGTCCACACGCATCCGGCGAATTCGGCAGCGAATCCGGATATTTTTGAATCCGCTCTCCAGAGTGGAAAAAAAAATAAATCCGCAACGAATCCGATAACGCGTGGACGGTGAATCCGGATATTTTCGAATCCGATGACGTAGCAAAATCGTGTCCAGTCTCTTACCGAACAATAGACCAATATTGCGGCATAACGTGTAGGCCTAGTTTCTCTAGAGTGAATCCGGATACCATGGGATGCATGTGGAAAGGCGAATTCGATTTGAATACGCTACGTGTGGACGGGGAAATTTTTGAATACGGAAAGAAAAAGTTGCGGATTCAAAAATATCCGGATACGCGTGGACTGGGCCTCAGGGAGTTGTATAAATACAAGGACACGATTAATGACATCATTACTACCGTAGGTAGGCTCGATTTCTGCCACCTCTCGAGTGTGGTCGACATTCCTCTCCGAGAAGGGGAAGGGACGCTTCGCTCGGAAACAGTCCTTTTTCAGGCTGAGAGAAAAAAAAAATTTCATTTAGGTATTTAAAAGGACATTTCAAAATTTCTTTTACAGGTACATTTTTGACGAGGAGGTGCGAAAGTCTCAACTGGCTTGGAAGTTACCAATTTGGGTCTTTCAAGGTAGGCAAATTTCCTGGGGAGCCTTTTTTCAGTCGATAGATTTCTGCTGGAATATAATACTTCAATCCATTCATTCCAAGATTTTTCTTTCGGTATAAATATGAGGGCCCCGACTAGGAATGATTCGTCAGTTTTGGAATTAAACGTTGAAAATTTTAGGCATCGATATACCTTAATTTGTAATACGGACCACATTTGACCCTCGAGCTTTTCGGCCGGGTAGACTGGAATTCGGATAGTAAGGGGCCGCGCTTTAATTTCTATTCAACCAAAAATTCTGAAATTTCCGACACAGGGACAAACGGTACGGAAATTTCCCGGGAAGTGTTCCAAAAAAATCCGGAAATTGTTGAGTTTCCGAAAAGCGAACCATTCAACTGACCGAAAATTCCGGAAATTCCAGGATGAAAATCAAATGGAACAGAAATTTCCAGGAATGTTTTTTTCAGGAGGTTGTCCTCTTTTTCGGATCGAAATTATGTGAATTCGCAATTTTCTATTAAGTCAGCGAATACGACATCCCGCCGGCGCACGGTGACTATGGTGACGGCGACACTTATTCGAAAAATTGATAAATATACTACTTTAGAATCTTGCCACCTGACCGTCGACAAATACTAACTACAGCTTAATACGCCAAGAAAGTGAATAAAATTTCGCTCATTTTGCTTCAATGCTAGCTATCGCGCAGTCTTCTACTTGTTCTGCCAACAGGGGAGGCTAATATTCCTAGCGCATACTAAAACGAACATCACCTGCGGTTCACCTTCTAATCGCACAACAAATCAAGCAAAACGTACAATATATTAATTTTGCATATATATTTTCAAGCACATCCTGTGCGCATAGTGTACATGTGTGTAACCTTATTTCTTGGACGTTTTTACACAGCGTCAAGATTAATGTTGAAATGAGTAAGTGGTATTTATGCCTTGGGAGACGACATCTTCGATTCTTAGCTACAGTTGCCGCCCTTGCTTGCTTTCTTTCCCTTATAGCGTGGATATTAATAACTGATACAAGCCTCACCAAGCAAGACGAAGGAAAAGAGCCAAGGAGATTATTGATACACAATGCGACTGACCGCGTAAGTTACTCGGGTGAATTGCTTATGTTGGTTGCAGGGTCCCTGTGAACAGCTTTATTTTTTGTAACTCTTGTCTGAATTTCGTGACTCGAATAGATCGGTTATGAGGGTTTGCTACACTTCGATAGTTTGATTTTGTTTACAAAAAATACTCTAAGATGATACGTACCTACACTCTTCAACCTAACTGGACCTTTTAGCTTGGATCTGATCTCGAAGTTCGAATTTTGATTCACTTGTTAGGATTATACAGAATGAACAAACCTCCAGACACAAAAAGGTACCTTCTGAAGGCTGGAGTTAGCAAAAGAAGGAAAATCATGATATTAATTAACTACAAGGATATTGAACGGGTGGCGTTTTTGAGTCTCAAACAAAATAAAGGTGAAATTCTTAAAATAAAGAGATAGTTGCCTTTTTTACATGAAATGCGAATGCCGGAAGTCACGGTTATGTCGGTGGTGGAACATCAGTTGTTATATTGTGAAGTTTTAAAAGTATAAATGAGATTTCTGAATTGACAAACACTTGTACCTCACGAAAACTTTGTTACAAGCGAGCGTGTCCGCAATATTACGACTCAAAAGAGTCTTAAATAAATTTTTCTTGGTTTGTATTTTAGTTTTTGAAGATTATGTGCCTGAGGCCGGGGTTAATTGTTAACTATCCTAAAAACACAGGCGACCCAAGTTTATAAGCTGTGCTTGCGGTCAAGGCAAAATTATAGGACTTTGTATGGGAATATTTACGATCGGTTTTACGAGGTAGAAATCGTAGAAAACTCTTGATAAAAATGCCTTATCTTACTTCCATATATTGTATTGCTGGTTGTTTGTTCGCGTTTTCTGCTGAATTCAGTGAAGCAATTTTGAGCTATAGTAATCGCTTCCTAGGTTTCCTTAGAGACCTTGGAATAGGAAACTTTGTACTGGACAAAGTACAGTGGAGAAACGGAAGATAAGTTAATTCAAGGTCAAACTTTTTCGTTTTGTTTTATTATTGCAGTTTCCAGATGAACTCTACCAAGGGGCGACTTTCAAGCAAAAAATTAGAAGCAAACTGTTGGAAGAATTTTGCGATAAACGAGTAAAGGACTCCAATGCTAAAAACATAGATTTCTCAAGGTTTATTGTCTCGGAGAAATATAAGCTTGTCTTCTGCCCTCTTCCGAAAGTATCTTGTACAGTTTGGAAAAACCTTATGGCAGATTTAGAGGGTGTGCATATTGAAAAAGATGTTCACAGCGAAATCAGGTATAAACTTAACTCTCTACGGCAATATTCTGTGGAGGAACGAAGAAATATTCTCAAGACTTACACAAAGTTCATGTTCGTAAGAGAACCATTCGAGCGACTTTTGTCGGCATACAGAGACTGTTTTGAGGGATGGTACAAACGAGGTGATGCTTTTTGGCAGCGTTATCGCGAAAGAGTCCGAGAATATTTGGTCAAAAATGGAGGTCTTAGTATTAACGTAAATGCTGATAACACAACGTTTGAAGAGTTTGCAACTTACGTGGTTCTATCGTGGAGAAACGGAGAAAAGCTTCAAATACATTGGCGCCAAATGCATGATTCTTGTCATCCATGTCAGATCAAATTTGATTATGTTGGCCATTACGAGTCCCTCTCAGACGACGCGGAGTTTATTTTAAGTAAGGCAAATTTACAGGATAAGGTGCAATTTCCACAATGGCGACCGTCAAACACAAACGTTTTAATGCAAAAGTATTATTCTAATTTAACGTTACTTAGGATAGCGCAACTCCAAAATATTTACAAAGATGACATGGAAATGTTTGGGTACACATACCCAGGACCGTTACAGCCAGTTATTGACAAGTTAATTAACCATAAATTATAAGCATAATTATAATAATTATATACCAATGTAACGTAACACAAACAGCAGTGATGAACATTTAAAAACATGCATGTAGTGGTAGTCAGGAGCTAACATTGTAAGATAATGGTTTGACACTGACTTTTTTTTGATGGTTTGTTCAACTGACTGTAAAGTGACACAATGGAAAAGCTTTCCTATTAAAGTAAAAGCTTTTAACTGCTGACATTGACATTCAATGCTGACTACAACTCCTGAATAAACAAACTCTCCTTAACCTTACAATGGCAGTCAGTTTTCCGGACGCCAAAATGTCAAATGGTCCCATTTGATGTTGTGACCAGTTGCTTTAACGCGATCAGCAATTAATAGCAGAAGAGTGATCACGTTTCGAAAGGGCCTTGAAATGTTCCGTTTTCCAGTTGTTAAGTCTTCGTTTCGTTTTCCCAATGTAATATCAAGTTCATAAATTGCATGTTTTTAAAATGTTTATAATCGCTGTTTGTATTATATTTTTAATCAAGTTACGATGGTCGAAGACCAAGAGTTTACCTATACAAATGTATATCTGGATTTATATGAAAACGGTGTTAGTGGAAATTTCACCCTTTTAGTCGCAATTTCGATCTAAGCGTTTTATTCCCGCCCAAAAAGAAACGCCAGCCTTTCTGTTCTTCCATTCTCTTATCTTCCTTCTCTTTTTTTCCCTTTCAAATCGGAGTGATTTTCAGGGCATTAGGAATCGTGAAATTAAGGGCTTTAGTTGACTTGGTGCAAAAGAACGAAGTTTTCATTAACAACGTTTTCATAAGTTCAGTCATATAAAAATCATGACCAAATCATTGTGAACTTTTGTGTCTCAGAGTCTTGTGCATGCCTTTACTGCGCCTTTCAATAACATGCGGACTCTAAAAATCAAAGCTCAACCGACAAATGCGTTTTTCGTTACCGTCAATCAAATGTTCGACGGTTCCTCCCAGCTTCCGACTACTGCCGAGCGCGCGGTAATCAAATCGTTGAGCACATTTCAGACAACGAAACAGTGCTCGACAGTAGTCGGAAGCTGGGCGGAGCCGCCGAACATTTGATTGACGGTAGCGAAAAACGCATTTGTCGGTTGAGCTTTGAATTTTAGACTCCGCATGTTATTGAAAGGCGCAGTAACGTAAATTTAGCAGTTATTAGTTTCTTATCGCGTTTTGGGGGCGTTTTTAATAAAATAATTATTCCACTTTCGCTTGATGTATATGAGATGATTATAGCCAACTCATATCCAACGCGCACTCGTGGAATAATTGTTAACTATTTTCGACTCTCGTCATTACTTAATCAACATTGCATAACTGTGAGGGGCAAGTCGTTCGAACCTTCTACCTTAGTCAGGGGGTTCATCAAGGCTCGGGGGTGGGGGGGGGGCGGGGGG